ATAAATGAACTGGATCGTTTCTATATAAAGCCTTTTTTATTTAAAAGCTAGGATAAGTAGCATTGTGTCAGCATTATTGTGGCACTGTAATCACTTGCATCAGCCATACTAATCCTGAGGATGACTGTAAAACCCTTTTTATAGGTGTTGTAAGCTGCATTTTATGGTTTGGAGGATTTCACATTTTCCGGACAGTGTATGCAAGTATTGGTCCTCCACCCTTGGAATACAGCCACCTATCTGCCAGAACAACAACAAAATGTTTCAAGTTTATGGATGCTAAATTTTTCCCAATGTAGTGTTTAACAGAATTTGTAGTAAAATGTATTAGAGATGTGTTTGGCTTCATTGACTTTCCATACAGCTTTAAGAAAAAAAGTAACTGTGGCCACTGCTAGGTTTGGGAAGTGCACTACAAAGAATTCCTCTGTTACAATGTGCTGCTTGGCAGAATTGGTTGCTTTGCTTCTATCTTTCTTAAAATACTACCAAATCAGTAGTTATCACCACAAATATTTGTTTCTATAAATATACAAACACATAAATATTGTCAGCTTTACTTAGCCATGGTAGATGATAACAATAGTGAGTTAAGAAGAAAAAAAGTTGGCCCAGTAGTAGATGTTCTGGAGAAATTCAGCCACTGTTCTTGGTCATCGAGGTCTGAATGTTGTGCATTTTGACCACATTTGTCCAAAATATTTTAAGTACAATTGCTGGGTGTAAAGAGATTTCTGAAAGCAATAATGAAACAGTGATTTAGTCCCAAAATAATTCCAAAACTTGCCTAAAAGAGAATGTTCGCATTCAGAAAGTTCAAGTAAGCGTGGACCTAATGAGAACGTTAATGCACACACTCATGGAAGGCAAAAGTTAATATTTGCAATACAGTTAAACCAAAAAGTGCTCATTTGGAGAGATTCTGCAAAATGAAGTACACTGCCTTTTTCTGAGCGCAGTTTACCCTTAGTCTGGACATTTTGTATTAGGAATTGTAAGAAGGTTCCTGTTGTGGCAGAGAGATTGCACTGACCTCTGCACTAGGCCATGCCTTCCAAATTTGTGTTCCTAAAAAGTAGAAAAATTTATATCCAGACTAAATCTTTCCTTCTTTTCCCCCTTTTACACCTCAGATCCAAAGTGTGGGCAGAAAGTTCAAGAGACAAAACCCTGGAGTTACCTTAACCTTTTCACTCGGATTGTTGGGGGAAACCAGGTGAAACAAGGCTCACATCCATGGCAGGTTTGCACAAGCAAATGTGGTTTTATCTTCAAAACAGAGTCCTGACTTTTCATAGAAATGACAAGAGAAGAGAACAGGTATATTTTGTGCTTACTGACACTTACGGTGTATTATTGAGCTCCACTCTGCTTTTATGAAAAGCAGTGAAGCAGGTAGAGAGGACATGGAACCCATCCTGCTCTTTAAGAAGCCTTTGCTTATCACTTATTATTTTGTTTATCATTCTTTCTGAAAGAGCATCTGTAGATCAGTCTATTGTAAAGAGGCATGGGTGAAACTACTCAAAAATAGAAGGCAACCGAAGGACAGCACCTCCAGCCCCCGACTGTTGTCAGGTATCATGGATTTCCAGTGCTCCCAGCAACCTGCAAAGGAAAAATTCTCAACTAACTAGTAACTTCTACAGCATGCCAAGTACCTCGGTGACTTGGCATTTGTTACATGTATGTTGCTTTTATCCAGGTACCAAGTTATAGCTAAGGAGAACAGCAAGGTTTAGGATTTCTTAGATTCAAGGACCATAACAATGCCATGAAAGTGTGTTTGCTTGAAATGCAGCATGTACTCTAGTTATGTGAATTTTCAGAGAGTACCTGCATGTACTTTCTCCTTTCTTCCTCAAATGCAATCAGAGCAGATATAAAGACTTTCTTTATTTGACATGCCTTCTTTATGAGGTGCAGGTTTCCTTGAAACGAAGGCAAAAGCATTTCTGTGGAGGCACCATTGTTTCTGCTCAGTGGGTGGTCACGGCAGCTCACTGCATCTTAGACAGGTATGGATGTGATATTGCATGAGTAGGCTGCAGGTGCAGAAAAACATTGATTGCAAAATGTGTGTGTGCTGTAGTATCTTTTTGTGGTGATTACTTACAGGTGCTACCCTTTCATTTGTAACCAGTACTTTCCACATTTTAACAGAAAGGGAGAAAAACCAAAACCTTTGAACATGTCAAAAATACGTAAGAATAAAATAAACTTACAGGGGTTGGTGGAGACTGATTTTTTTGGAAGTGTAGGTAAAAATCTTTACCTAGCTATAAGTATCAGGTGATGGCAATTTTTTTTTTTTTCCCAGAGGTAGCAACTGGCAGAGTATATGCAATTAAATGGTGAATGGATATAGTACTGACCTCTTGCATGCGGATGATTTTCAGCCTTAGTGCGGAGGGGAAAAAAAAAAAAAAAAGAGGTCTGTGAATGTAGCACAGAAGGTTTCAGTCCTGATTCTGTGGTGGCTTCACTGAGATTCTAATTCCCTTATAGTTAGTACTGAATCTTTGTATTAATGGGTCACCTGGAATTATAGATTTGATCTATATCTGGCATTGTATGTGATCACCTCTTGGTGAAATTAGCCAATAGCTGCAGAGTTTATATTAACTACAGAAGCACAGGCAATGTCTAAATCAGCATAAAGCCTCCTGACACAAAAGTAATTCTTCAAGTCTCGTGAATAATTTTGAAGCAGAATAAAAAGTTTATAATGATTGCATTTGTGTTTCCTTGCTGCACATCTGATCTGGTACTAGAAGCCCTAAAGCAGGATTCACTATGTTTTTAAGGCATAAACAGAGAATGCTAGAGAAGTAGTCTTATTTTTTCTGTACTTTCCTATGTCCAAATCTTCCCCCTTCCTTCAAAAAGCAGTGTGACTGAACATTTTTAAACCCATTAAGAGGACCTGGTTCCTTAGTGGAACAGTCACTACACAGTCAGGAGTGTAGCCAAATCATCTTTCTTCTCAGTCCTTTTCATCTCTTAATTTCTACTGCGGGGCATACTCAACTCTTGCTGATAGTATTAAGTGCTCTAAAATCTGAAGACGAAAGGTATTAGGTATCAGTAGTAATAACTTTTCTGTTGAAAGGAATAAATACAGTTGTTTTTAATTTTGAAGATTCTGTAGCTGAACTTTTATTTTTCTGTTCAATAGGGACCTACTCCAGTACTTGAATGTCACTGCAGGAGAGTATGATTTGAGGATCAGGGAGAATGGCGAGCAGACGCTCCCTGTTAAATATGCCATTAAGCATCCAAACTTTGACCCCAGAAGGCCAATGAACTATGACATTGCCCTTCTGAAGCTGGATGGAGCCTTCAACTTCAGTAAGGCCATAATTATCTGTGATCTTTTTCAGTGGGGAAGGTAAGGCCTTTGTTTCTCCCACAGGCTGCGAAAAGTCTTGAAACTCAGTTTAAACCCATTTCCCAACAGTCAGATTATACCACTGAAAATCTCCAGAGTATTTTGCAACTGAAGTATTTAAAATACCAGAGGTAAGTCAGAAAAATGTATCAGTTGAATTAAATGGTCTTCTTCAGACTTAATACTCCCTTGCAGAAAAGGTATTGTTCTTCGTATGCAGGAGATTAAAAATAAAAACACCTACTTGGTCAAATTTTAATCTAAGGTGTAGGTGGAGATTTCTGTCTCTAGTGAACAGTAAAGCTAGTCAAAGGCAGGCCAGAGCTCACAGCATACCTTGCTACTGTCTGTACCTTGCTCACACCCCCTCTGCTATTTGCTGTCTTTCTGCAGTCTGCAAGAAGCGAAAAAGAACCTGGGATTATCTTTAGTAGTGGCAGAATGGTCCATCTGGGGGCTGTAAGGGAAAGGGGAAGGTGAGGGGAGGACAGCTCTTCATACCCTGTTTGCTGGCCTGTCAGCCAGCCGTTTCTCAGCTTTACACTAACTGCCTTACAGTCAGGTTTTCTGAAAGACTACTTCACATCAGTTTTACGTAGTATTGAGGTGTGTATGCTTTGCTTCTCCAAAGGCTCCAGCTCACGTCACTAGGTTGCTCTTTCTTTGCTAGCACAAAGGTGAGTGACTGCTTTTTCTAATGGCAGTTTGTATCATGATAGCAGTTAAGTTTAAGCTGAATGGCAAGGCCTGGGCTGAAGTTTGTGGTGCTCCTGCCTTTCTTTTTCCATTCCAAAACACTGTGAAGTGGAGGCACAGATAAATTGTCAAATGCCAGATTAATTTTTCAGATGCCGCAAAAATAACAATACTTTTTAGTTTCAAAAAAAAACTGAGAAAGGAAGCTTTTTGTTGTTGTTCTTTCAAATACTTATCAATAAAATTCATGTCTGTGTGGCAGGTTCATCGGTTTTGCCAGCATGTCTTCCTGATCCAGGTGAAAAGTTTGAAGCAGGATACATCTGCACTGCTTGTGGTTGGGGCCGTTTAAATGAGAGTAAGCTACTTGCATTGTTCTTTGACATTCAGGTTTCTCAGTGTCTTATTTCTGAAGCTAAGGGCTTGATTGCATAGGTCATAGACAGACCAGGAAAAAACATCAACTGGTCATAAGAATTGTAATCTCAAAATGGGATCTTTGCTAGCTTCTATGACTACCTGTGAATTATCTCAAAATGGATCACTACAATATGTAGATGTGTATTTCAATTTTGAAACATTTTAAAATTTATTCAAGTAAAACTGCTTATGTACACAAAACTGGATATTTATGTAACTGTAAAATGGCTTGGAGCAAGTTTACAACTCTTTTTGGGGTTTTTTTTGTGTATTAGCAGTGACATTAAGGTCACCTTTCAGCATTTCTTATGAACAATTTTTTTTTTTTTTTTAGATGGAGTACTTCCTCAGGTCTTATATGAAGTCAATCTACCAATCCTAAATGCTAAAGAGTGTTCAAGAGCATTATCAACTTTAAAGAAACCCATCCAAGGTGACACTATAATGTGTGCTGGATTTCCAGATGGAGGAAAAGATGCCTGCCAGGTCAGCTGAACAGAGGGCCTTGTGTACATCCAAGTGTTTCTCAGAAGCTGAAGGCTCTGTGTGCCTAAATGAATAAATACACTGCAAAGTGTGATATTTGGAGTGTGTGTATTCTGATGTGTGAATTCTTTCAAGGGTCCTGTATGGGGCAATGCACCGAATTACATTATTCCATTTTAATTGTTATATGAGTTGGATGACAGGTTCCTGAGAGCAATTTTGCAATGTATCCCAGAGCAATAATGCTTGGGGCTTTGTAACTTCAGAGCACTTGATAAATTAATTGGTTAATGTTGCTAAGATCCTAAGGAGGAAAGTAGAAAGTATTGCCTTGGACTACAGGAAGCAAAGGAAGTGAGATAAAGGTTAAGTGATAAAACTCCTCACTCCTTTTCATGTGCTAAAACATGACAGCTGTGAGGGCATTAGTCTCTCTCTCCCCCTCTTGACAATCCTGACTAAACACAAAAAAAAAGAAATCTTCTTTCTTCACAGTTTTTAAATTACTATTCCCTTTGCAGGTTTGTCAGTATGGCACAAAAGAGAACCCCATAATCTCTTTAAGGCTTCCTCAGTGGTATGCATGCACTTTTGTAAGCTGTGGGTTGTGGGCTTTTACTTGTTTTTTACAGGGAGACTCAGGAGGCCCTCTTCTGTGCCGACGTAAGCATGGTGCCTGGACTCTCGCTGGTGTGATCTCCTGGGGGATGGGATGTGCTCGTGGCTGGATAAGTAATGAGAAGAAGAAACATTATGACAGGGGATCTCCGGGAATATTCACAGACCTCAGTGCGGTGCTTTCCTGGATTCAAGAGAACATGGGTGCTGGTATTAATTTAATATTAAATT